ACACAAAGAGTTGAATACACAGTCTGCTAGGCCAACGGACAATTTGACCATCTTGGCCGACTCCTCCTGAGAGATGAATCTATACACAATATAGTCGAATAGTTGAAGGTTTTCGGAATGACAGTCGACAAAGCTCTTGATAATTTGAGGGCCGACTCCCAAGGCTCTGAGTTGCGTAGAAAGGTGATCCCATAGAGCGTTCTGGGACAGAAGGAGAGAGTTTTCTGGGGTTAAAAAGAGGAAACCTTCCCTTCCGTAGTCCCCGCTACAGTGAAAGAGTTAAATTATCAGTGAAATACATTTTATTGTATCGTGTACGACATACCTCATTGCATAAGATAGACAAGGTTCCATCGAGTCGTCAGCTTGAGTTTCGATCAAATCACTCGGGCCCGTATCGAATGAGAATTCGACGACTGTATCGACTTGTTGCCCTTCTTTCGAGCTTCCTGTCAAATTCATTGAACTATCTGGCTCGATTTGTACCACAGTGGATTGTTCTTGCACTGCGGCGACATAGAGATCGCAATAGACTTGCACATGGACAGAAAGATTCCCTAGTCCACTCACTCTGGTCGAAGGACGTGGTGTCAGTGATCTGCCGCGGAATGCATCAGGGCTGATGTTTCTTAGAGAACGCGACCTTCGTCCTCGTTTGCGAGAAATGTAGCGCGCGAAAGGTGGAGATCGACTACGCCGAGAAATGGTGAGAATGTGTTTCGTATGAGAAGATGTAGGGACACGATGTCTAGTGAATCTATGATGGGCTATTATCTTCGTATAAGTGGTAGAGACAGATCGACTACGTTCGACCACCAATCGATGACGCCGTGGATCATGTTTTCCAGTAAATTGACGGGATTGAGAGCGCCTTCTTCGATACTTTGGAGATAGAGAACGCTCAATGCGAATGATGTGTGCGCGACGCGGCCCCGGTGAGTCATTGACGGAGGTTCGGCGGGGATTATGCCCAGAATCCGCGACTATGATTGGAGAATGGGAGGTGGATCGTGCATCTCTCTCAAATATAATTGGAGAGAAAGAGCGGGATCTTCTGTGTGTTCGG